CTTTCCGACTGCTGCCCTGCTTCCGCTGACCCTGCCCGGGCTTTCCTCCCCGGCTCCCTCCCCCGGCGACGCAGCTGGACACGCTGCGCCCGCTGGTGCTGCCGCTGCTGACCTCCCCGCTGGTCGGCGCCACCGCCGCCTTTGACTGCTGCCGCCAGCTGGCGCGCTGCCTGCCCGGCGAGCTGGGCGGCGCCGCGCTGCCGCTGGCCTGCGCGCTGCGCCTCGTCATGCTGACTCAGCAGGTGCGCCTGGGCCGCACTGCCATAGGCAGGAGGAGGGCGGGTGCTTGCCCCGCAGGCCGCTGAACCGCACTCGCACTCTGGCAGCATCACCTAACATCACAGTCGCAGCCATTCAGCCGCATGTCAAGGCAAGGCTCGTGGCCCCCCACCCCACCGCCGCCACGTGCCCCTCTCTCCCGCGCTCCCCATGCAGGAGGGCGCCGCCGCAGACTGGCAGTCCCTGGCGGGGCGGCGGTGCGTGGCGGAGGCGGTGGGCGCGCTGCAAGCGGCCACCGGCGGCAGGCCTGGGGAGAACGGGTCGGCGCCGCCGCCGGCGCTGCGCCGCGCGCTGCCCGGCCCCTCCTACATGTACTGCTTCCCCATCCTGCGGGCGGTGATGAGGTGGGTGTGGGGTGGGCCGCGAGCCGCTGGCGCCGGCGCAGCGTGGGAGCGCGGGCGGGTGGGGGGCTGGCATTGGCGCATCGGCCTACTGAGCTGAAGCCGGCTTTTGGGCCTTTGTGCCTGTGGCTGGCTGGCACTCGCTGGCGCCTTAACTGAGGCCAGAATTATGTGCTGTCCCTCTGCCTCCCTCGTGCTTGCAGCTTCCCGGAGCCCACGCCGCTGCACGAGGCGGCGCTGGGTGTGGTGGCGCTGCACGTCGGCCCCGCGGCCAAGTGAGCAGGCGGGGGAGGGGCAGGCGGGGGAGGGAGGAGGAGCCGCCTGCCTGCGCGTCGCCCCTGCCTCAGCACTTCGCAGGGCCCTCAGAGGCCGGCTGAGCCTTGCCATGCCCCCCCTGCCCTGCCCCCTCCTCCTGACGCGCCCCTCACCCCCCAGCCCTTGCCTTGCTCCTCCACACCCCATCTCACCCTCCACCGCAGTGTGAGCAAGGTGGAGTCGTTCAAGCTGCTGTATCACGTGCTGGAGATCATCCCCGCCTACAGGCAAGGCACTGGCCCAGCAAGCCGCGCTCGCCTGCGCTTGCGGGCAGCTGCAGAGGCAGGGGCGCGGCAGGAAGAGGCCAGCCAGTGGCGAGGCGCACAGCACGCCAGCCCCACCCCTTGCCCCCTCCCTCCTCTGACCTGCTGTGCGGCCTGCGGGGTGTGGGTGCAGGGACCGGGTGCAGCCCCTGCTGCGCATGCTGTGCTCCTCCACAGCGTGCGACGACGTGCCCGGCTTCACCGCCGCGCTCCAGGTGCCCGCCCGCCTCCCTGCCCGCCTCGCCGGCACCTGCGGCCCCGCGCCCGCCCCTGCCGGCCTGCCGATTCACCGCTGTGCGCTGGCGCCATCCATCGCTCACCCGCTGCGCCGCCGCTTGTGCGCTTGCAGGGCCTGGTGGCGGGGCAGCCGCACGTGCGCGGCGCGGCGCTGCAAGCGCTGGACCACTCACCGGCGATCAACGATGCCGAGGGTGGGTGGTACCTGCTTGGCTGGGCGCTGGCTGGAGAGAATGGGGTGCCAGACTGGAAAGAGAGACAGAGCCGGAGCTGCCGCCTCCTGCCCGGACTGCGCCCGGCGTTGCGCTGACGCCGCGCGCTGACGCCACGCTGCGCCGCGCCGTGCCCGCAGTGCCTGCCGACGACGCTGTGCTGGCGCTGATGTGGCTGGCCAGGCGGGACCTTTATGAGGCCAACGCCGAGGTGGCGCAGGGGCTGTGGGAGGAGGCCTGCTGCTCCCTGCCCCCCACCTTTGCCCCAGCCCTGATGCCCCACCTCAGCAGCCCACACCCGGGTGCGCGCCTGGGCTAGCCCTGGCTGGCTGCCACCTTTTCCTGGCATTGTTTTGTTTCAAATTTTTTGTTTCTGTTCTTTTTCGTTGCTGCCCGTCCCTCCTGCTCCCCACACCCCTGCTGTGCCAGCCACCCTCCTCCCTCCGCTATCCACCCACACCCATACCCAGACACACCCTCCCACCCCACCCCTGCTCCCCGCAGACGTGCGCGTCGCGGCGGCCTCCGCGCTGGCTGAGGGCGTGGAGGAGCACCCCGGCGTGGTGGGGCAGGCGCTGGGCGGCGCGCTGGATCTCTACGAGTCCCCCGCCGCCGACGACGGCCTGTCGGCGCGCGCGGGCGCCGCCGCCGCGCTGCGCGCGCTGGCCCCTAGCCTCGCCGCCGACCAGCTGCCCGCCACCCTGGACTTTTTGCTCAGCAAGGGCCTGGCAGACGGCCACGCCGCCATCCGCGAAGCCATGATCGCCGCGGGTGCGCGCGCTGATGATTGGCTTCCCTCCGAATCGTGGCTCCGCTCCGCAGCGGCCTGCGCGCTTCGTGCCCCGGCGCCGCTGCCGCATGGCCGCCAGGCCTGGTCCGCTCGCCCCCCCAACTGACACACACACACCACCGCCTCTGCCCTGCCCCGTGCCGTGCAGGCGTGGCTGTGGTGAATGCGCATGGGGGGCAGAATGCGGAGGCCCTGCTGCCGCTGTTTGAGTCGTACCTGGACAAGAAGGTGGGTGGGGGTGGGTGGCAAGGAGAAAGAAGAAGGGGGAGGAAGAGAGGAGGCAGGGCGGGGAGCGTGGGCGGGGTTGGAAGCGTGGAAGGAAGGCCCGCAGGAAGGAAGTTGGTTCGGTGCAGTGCGCCCCTCGACCCTCTGCCTCCCTGCCTGCTTGCCTGCCGTCCACCCTGGCTGCAGGCCGCGCTGAGCGGCCTGTCTGAGAGCCAGTACGACAACGTGCGGGGCGGGGCGGTCGTGTTCCTGGGCACGCTGGCACGCCACCTGGACCCGCAAAACCCCAAGGCAAGCGCCCGCTGGGGGGCACAGAGGCGCGGCGCGTCGCGCGCTGGGTGGTGGCGTGCATTGTGTGTGCGCGTGGGTGGAAAGGCGCAGGGAGGGGAGGCCGCATGTGTGCACCTCTGTGGGCGAGGCGCGGGCGCAGCTCTTGCTGCGGACGGGCAAGCGGCACGCCGCGGCCGGCTGCCTGGCTGGGTGGGTGGGTGCCTCCCCGCCTCCCTCCACCCTTCCACCCCCCCCACCCCGCCTGCCGCAGGTCCGCAGCATCGTGGGCACGCTGCTGGAGGTGCTGACCACGCCCAGCGAGAGCGTGCAGCGCGGCGTGTCCGATTGCCTGCCGCCCCTCATGCAGGCAAGTCGCGGCGGGGGGCGGCTGGTGTGGCGGTGCGTGGCTGCCGGGGAGTGGGCAGCGGCTGGCGTCGAGTGGCGTGGCTTCGGGCAAGCGGGGCAAGTTGGGGCACGCGGGGACCCAGGGCTGACAGCTGGCTGTGCCACGCGGCGCCAGACCCTTGCCCGCCTGCTTGCCTGTGCTTCGTCCCGCCTTGCTGTGCAGGCGCTGCAGGGCGACTCTGCGTTTGTGGAGGGCACGGTGCAGGCGCTGCTGCAGCGCTGCCTCAAGGGGGCCAATTACGGGGACAGGTGCGTGAATAGCATGGGGCAGGGACTCCGCTCCCTTACCCCCCACCCCCTCAGCCCAGCAACCAACCAACCCTCTGAGCCCCTCCCGCCACCTGCGCCTCCCGCCACCTCACCGCACACCTTTCACGCTTTCGGCCGCTCTGCCCCCCTGCCCTCCCGCAGGCGCGGCGCGGCGTACGGCCTTGCCGGCGCGGTGCGTGGGCTGGGCATCAGCAGCCTGCGCGGGCTGGGCATCATGGATGCGCTCAAGGCGGCGATCGAGGACAAGGGCAGCGCGGAGGCGCGGGAAGGTGCGAGGGCGGGCAGGCGGGACAAAAAGGGAACGCACGCCTGGGTGACTGTCTAGCGGCCCAAGGCGCTGCGGCCTCGCTCCCCCTCCCTCCCTGCATGTCGCGTTGGCCTGCCTCGGTCCACCGCACACCACACCCACCATGCCACATCCACACCCGCATGCCCCTGCCGCTCCCACACACCCTGGCTTCCCTCCCCGCCGCCACAGGCTCCCTGCTGGCCTTTGAGTGCCTCAGCGACAAGCTGGGCCGCCTGTTTGAGCCCTACGTCATCCAGATCCTCCCCATGCTGCTCGTCTGCTTCGGCGACAGCTCGCAGGCGGTGCGGGACGCCGCCGACGGCGCGGCGCGGGCCATCATGGGGCAGCTCACGGGTAAGGAGCCGCGCCGGCCGGCGCTTGGGAAGGAGGGGAGGAGGCACGCCAGCCTGGCGACGAGGCACGCCACAAGCGGGGCTCGGCTGCCGCTTGGTGGAGCTCGGCTGCGCGTGTGCTTGCTGCTGCCGCTGCTGCGGGCGGCCTGGCTCGGCCGACCGCTGCGCCTGCCTTCGCCTGCCTTTGGATGTGTGTGTGAGTGTGTGTGTGTGTGTGTGTGTGCAGGCCAGGGTGTGAAGCTGGTGCTGCCGGCGCTGCTCAAGGGTGTGGAGGACAAGGCGTGGCGAACCAAGCAGGGCAGCATCCAGGTGTGTGTGGGAGCAGGCTGCAGCGCCTGCCCGCACCAGGGTTGTGCGCCGCCGGTGGCGCTGCCTCACCCGCTCCCTGTGACCCCTGGCCTTGCCCTGGCCCTGGCTGCCAGCCTGCTGCCAGCCTGCTGCCAGCCTGCTGCCAGCCTGCTGCCCTGCCTCCTTGCCTCACCCACCCCCACCCCCCACCCACACCCACACACCCCCGGCAGCTGCTGGGTGCCATGGCGCACTGCGCTCCCAAGCAGCTCGGCTCCTGCCTGCCCGTGGTGGTGCCCCGCCTGGGCGAGGTGCTGGCTGACCCGCACCCCAAGGTGGCAGCCGCCGCCCGCACCGCACTGAACGAGGTGAGGAGGAGGGGGAGGCTGCAGCAGGGCGGCGGCGGCACGGCATGCAGGCGGGCTGGCAGGGCAGGCATGGGGCTGGTTTAGAGCGGCTGGTGGGGCGCCCGGGCTGGGCTGGGCGCCGGCCACAAGGGCTGCCACTGCCGCTGCCACTGGCGCTGGCGCCGGCGCCCATCTGCCGCTGCCGCTGGCCACCCATCCCGCCCGCCATGCGCCCCCCCTCCTGGCCGCAGGTCGGCTCTGTGATCCGCAACCCCGAGGTCGCCAAGCTGGTGCCGGTGCTGCTGGCCGCCATCGCCGACCCCGCCGCCTCCAACAAGCAGTGCCTGGACACGCTTCTGGCCACGGTGTTTGTCAACACGGGTGGGTGGGTGGGTGGGTGGCGGCTGGAGGGAGGGGTGTGGGGGCCAGGGGCTGGTGGGCGGCGGGGCGAAGCCTCATGCGCGCTGCCTCGCCAGGAGCTAGGCGCGGCGGGGGCTGGGAGGGAGGCACCAGCCGGCCCCTGCACCGTGAGCACGGCGGGGGGTGGGAGGTACCAGCCGCCACTTGCGCCATGCACGCACGATCATCATCCCGCACGATCGTTCCCGGCTCCCACCCTGCCTGCTCGCCCCTGCCTGCAGTGGACGCCCCCTCCCTGGCCCTCATCATCCCCGTGGTGCACCGCGGCCTGAGGGACCGGTCGGGTGAGGCGCCAGCAGCCTCGCCCTGGCGCCGCCCCAGCCCTTTCTTTTGTGCCCCTCGTTCCTGGCAGGCCTTGATTCTGCCATGGCAGATGCCGGCTGGGGGGCAGGGCCAGGCCGCTCGCTCGCACACCCCACGCCTGCACGCACGCCTGCCATGCCGCTCACTCGCCCCACCTCCCCACCTTTCCCTGCACCCCCACCTTCCCACACTCCCCCCCTCCCCGGCCCCACGCCGCCACCTGTGCAGGCGACCTGAAGAAGCGCGCCGCACGCATCGTGGGCAACCTGTGCACTCTGGCTAACGACCCGCGAGACATGCAGCCATACGTGCCGCTGCTGCTGCCAGAGCTCAAGGTGAGCACGCCCTGTGTGCGCCTGTGTGCGCCTGCGTGCCAGCACCTGTGTTGGCACCCCGTATCTTGGGAGCAGGTGTGTTGGGAGCGGGCAGTTTCGGGCGGGCAGCGGTGCGGGAGGCTGGCAAGCGTGGCGGCTGCGAACAGCGGCGGCGCCGGCGGCGGGCGGGCGGGAGGCGAGAGTGGGGCTGGGGCCGGGCGTCGCGGTTGCAGCATTGCGTGCCCGCTCGCCTTCTCGGTCCCTGCCCGCTCCCCGCCGACCCCTGCAAGCTGCCGCCCCTCCCCCTCCCTCCTCCCCGCCACCCGCCCACTGCAGGCTGCGCTGGTGGACCCCTTACCCGAGGTGCGCGCCACAGCTGCCAAGGCCATGGGCTCGCTGGTCAAGGGTGAGCGGTGTGGGGGGGTGTGAGCGTGTGTTTGTCTGCGTGTGTGTGGTGCGCGTGTGCCTTGTGTGGTTGCTGCGCGTGCGCCTGTGTGTCTGTGCATGTGTGTGGATGATGCACGCACTGTGCCTGGCGCCAGCCAGCCAGCCAGCCAGCCAACGCTGCCGCAGCCCCGTCACCGCCTGTGCCCACCCGCCTCCCAGCCCCGCCCTCGCCCCGCCCGCCGCTCTTGCCCTGCCCTGCGCCGTCCCACACACCTGCCTGCCTGCCTGCCTGCCCCCTTCCCGCCTGCGCAGACATGGGTGAGGAGGGGCTGGGCGGCGTGGTGCCCTGGCTGCTGGAGAAGCTGCGCAGCGAGTCGTCGGCGGTGGAGCGCAGCGGCGCGGCGCAGGGGCTGGGCGAGGTGCTTGCGGTGCAGGGGGCGGGGCAGGTGGCGGCGCTGCTGCCCGACATCATCGCGGGATGCCGCGCGCGCAACGCGGGTGCGCTCGGGGGGCTGATGGGGTGTGCGATGCGGTGTAGTGTGGTGCGGTGTGGTGTGGTGTGGTGTGGTGTGGTGTGGTGCTTCATGTGTGTGCGCGCACGCGTGAGTGTGTATATGTGTGTGTGTGTGTGTGTGTGTGTGGTGGTGTGTGTGCGCAGGGGGGAGGCCGCTGCTGCTGCGCGCGCGCCGCCTGCCGGCCAGCCTGGCCCACCACCCCACCCACCCCTCGCCCCTATGCCCCCCCACCCACCCCTGCAGCCGTGCGCGAGGGCCACCTCACCCTGTTCAAGTACCTGCCGCTGTGCATGCCAGACGAGTTTGTGGCGCACCTGCCTGAGGTGCGTGGTGTGGGTGTGGGTGTGGGTGTGGGGGGGGTGGAGGATTGGTGGGCTGCCGCAGGCCCCCTGGGGGCGGCCGCAGGCACCCTGGGCGAGCCTCGGCTCGCGCATGCGGTGCCAGAGTGCCTCCAAGTGCCTTGAGCTGCTGCCCTCCGAGGCAGGAGTCCCTCCGAGGGCACTGGCAGTCTAGTTTCGTGATGGGGATGCCTGCCTTTGTCCGCATGCCACCCCTACCCCACCCCACCGCACCCCACCACACACCCACACACCCTCGCCCGCAGGTGCTCACCTGCATTCTGGACGGCCTGGCGGACGAGGCTGAGGGTGTGCGGGACGCGGCGCTGGCGGCGGGGCGCGTGGCGGTGGAGCTGTATGCCGAGAGCTCGCTGGCGCTGGTGCTGCCTGCGGTGGAGGCGGGGATCACCAACGCCAACTGGCGCATCCGCCAGTCCAGCGTGGAGCTGCTGGGTGACCTGCTGTTCAAGGTGGGTGGGGGGTGTGGTGAGGGGGTGGTGGGCTGTGTGGGGTGGTGGTGGTGGTGGTGGTGTGGTGGTGTTGGTGTGTGTGCGTGAGTGTGCGTGCGTGTGTGTGTGT